CAACACCTTGAAGCGCACCCGGAAGACCACCGGGAGCCAGTGCAGCTCGCGCAGGAGAGGTGTCACATGGGAGCGCCTCGTCGCCCCCATAATCCCCCGCGTGGCTGCATTCTGGACCAGCTGGAGCCTCCGGGTGCACCCCAGGGGGAGCCCCATGTAGAGAGTGTTGCAGTAGTCCAGGCGGGAAGTGACGAGTGCCTGAGTGACTGTGTGTAGGGAGTCCCAATCTAGAAAGGGGCGTAACTGGCGTATCAGGCGAACCTGATAAAAAGTCCCCCTGGCCACGGCCGTCAAATGATCTTCTAAAGACAGCCGTGCGTCCAGGAGGACGCCCAAGTTACGAGCCCTCTCCGTGGGGGCGAGTGATTTGCTCCCAATAGCCAGCGATGGCATCAGCTGGCTATATCAGGATGCCGGAAGCCACAGCCACTCGGTCTTGGAGGGGTTGAGTTGGAGCCTGTTTCTCCCCATCCAGGCCCGCACGGCCTCCAGGCACTGGGACATCACTTCAAGGGCATCGTTGGGGTGGCCTGGGGTGGAGATGTACAGCTGGGTGTCATCAGCGTACTGATGGAACTCCACCCCGAAGCCACGGATGATCTCACCCAGCGGCTTTACATAAATGTTGAACAGAAGGGGCGAGAGGACCGACCCTTGTGGCACCCCACAAGCAAGGTGCCTCGGGGTCGACCGCTGCCCCCCTGTCAACACAGATTGTGACCGGTCAGAGAGGTAGGAGGAGAACCACCGCAGAAAGGTGTCCCTCACCCCCAACCCCGCCAACCGGTGCAACATGATACCATGGTCGATGGTATCAAAAGCTGCTGAGAGGTCTAACAGGACCAGGATAGAGGAGCAACCCCTATCCTGAGCCCTCCAGAGATCATCCACCAACGCGACCAATGCCATTTCCGTGCTGTGCCCAGGCCGGAAGCCGGACTGGAGCGGGTCTAGATAGACAGCTTCATCCAGGTACCAGGGAAGCTGTTGCGCCACCACACTCTCAACAACCTTCGCAACAAAGCGAAGGTTGGAGACTGGACGATAGTTAGCCAAAACAGCCAGATCCAGAGAGGGCTTCTTGAGGAGGGGCTTCACAACCGCTTCTTTCAAAGTGGCCGGCAGGACCCCCTCACTCAAAGAAGCGTTAACAATCTTCTGGAGCCAGCCTCATGTCACCTCCCGGGAAGCCAGTACCAACCAGGAGGGGCACGGGTCCAATAAACATGTGGTCGCGTTCAGCCGTCCCAGGACCCTGTCCATGTCCTCGGGAGCCACAGGATCGAACTCCCCCCAGATAACACTCTCAAGACCTGCCTCAGTCATCCCGTCCGGACATACCCAGTCAGAGGCCAGCCCTTCCCGAATCTGAGCGATTTTGTCATATAGATACACAAAGTCCTAAGCTCGGCCCTGCAAGGGGTCATCCTGCACTTCCAGATGGAGGAGGGAGCGGGTCACCCTAAACAGGGCAGCCGGGCAATTATCTGATGACGCGATAAGAGCGGCAAAATAGCTAGATTTCGCCGCTTTTATCGCCACTAGGTAGGTCTTAATATGAGACCTCACCAGTGTTCGGTCGGATTCGGAGTGGCTGGTCCTCCAACTACTCTCCAGGTGACTTTTCCGGCGCTTCATCTCCCTGAGCTCCTCGGAGAACCAAGGAGCTAGGTGAGTTCGGTGCTGGGTCAGAGGCCGCAAAGGCACGACACGGTCCAAGGCCCCGGCAGCCGCACTATCCCAGGCGGCCACCAGGTCTTCAGCCGAGTCATGAGCCAGAGTCTCAGGAAATGGCCCAAGCTCCATCTGGAACCTATCAGGGTCCATCAGGCACCTGGGGCGGAACCACCTGGTCGGTCCCGCCTCCCTGCGGCGGGGTGCAGCGGTTGAAAGTCCAGTCAAAGGAGCGAGTGGTCAGACCATGACAAGGGTCATGGGTGTTTAACATGGATGTTAAAATGGGTTCAACATCTTCATGTATAATACATGAGTGGAATAAAGAAAAGCAAAATCAACAAGAGATAGAAATTCAGGATAAGTAGAAAGAGATGGAAGTAATGGAAAAACAACAAGTTACAGAGGACTTTGTAGATGAGCAGCTTCTGGATTCTCCTTCAGAGGTTACAGCTGGATTATTTATAAATACAAGAGAGGTGGCTTTGGATTCTAATGTGATGATTCATCAAGTTACAGACCAGCATAGAAATCAATCAGTTGACATACAACTCAAAGAAAAGAAACCAGAATGGAGACTTAAGCCACAAAAGCAAAACCAACAAGATCAAGTTTTAGATCAGCATGAAAACTAAATAGTTGATACACAATTTATAGAAAGGAAATCAGGATGGAGATCTAACCCACAAAAAGTCAAGAAAAGAAGAAGCAGGTCTTACAAAAACAAAAACTTTTAAACTAAACAACAGTGCAATGCCAGTTATCTAAGAGATGATTGAATATATGAAAAGATAGCTGAGGCAAAGTATTGATTTATATTATCCTGAGGAGAGTGACAGACCTCTGCAGTGCTCTACCTTTGGGATGTGAAAGGGCCTTAAACTGAATGGATTGGAATTATCTATTTTGGATTCTTTGATAAATGTATTACGTTTAGGTTGAGCTACAAGGCAAGAGAGTTATGGGATTGGAGCACACAGAAGATCTGGTTGTTACCCTATTACGGTGGTTGGAATTAATAATTTAGATGAAAGACACTACTATAGACACTATATGGAATACAAATATAAAGTCACTCGGGTGGTTGTTTTTTATATATCAAGACATCTATTGTTGATGGGGGCAGATGGTAATTGAAGATACCGAACATACTGTTGGAATTAGGATGTGATGTTACCCTAATATGGATGATGGAGTTAACAATCCAGCTGAAAGACACTACAGAAGATATTATATGGATTACAAGCTTAAATCATTTGAGGATTTTATTTATATAAGGGAATACTTCTTAGTGGTGTGGGCAGAAGAATAAAGATATCAAGAACTATTATGTATGGTAGTTTTGTAGGGAAGTGGGTGGAGATAGGTTAGCTTATTGATTGTTTAGTTGAAGAAAAGGGATATTATGTTTAGATATGAATATATGTAAAAGATTTGAGTTAAGAGATATATCTATGGGGGTGGAGGAAATGGGCAGACTATGAGTTGAATAAATGTTAAATTAGGATTTATTATATTGTTTTATAGTGGAAGGTTGCTTTGAAATGTCATATTAATATACAAAAAAGATTTGATTTAAGAGATATATGTTTGGGGGAGGAGTAAAAGAGTAGATCATGAGTAGAAATTGTTAAATTGGGGGATATAATAATATTACTATGCTAAATTAGGAGTTATTATATAATGTTATAGTAGAATGTTATTTCGAAATGTATAGTATAAGGGGGATATAATAATATTATGAGAAAGAAAGGGTCAGCATATGGGGGATGGAGCAAGGGGAGGGTAAAGTATTATATAATCTGTTATGAATTTGGGTTGTACCTTGAAGAAGCCACAGGGGGAGGGGAGGGCGAGGGGGGGTTAGGGAGGAGGGGGGGAAAGGGGGAAAAATTGTATTTGAAAAACTTTTTCAATAAAAAAAAAAAAGAATTCACGTTTCTTCCAAAAGCCCTTCTTGCTTTTATTATGGTGGTTAATGATAATGACGCAGGAAGAACATAGTTGGAATTACAAATATGGGTTTGAATAATGTTGTTGTGTATAGACATATGGGAATTTTGGTATATCTTTGAATGAATAAGAAAGATTTGGCTGTGGAACTCTCTAAATGGCCTTAAGCCATTATTTTCTTTCAGCCAGTTGTATATTCCAGAATGACTATATGGAGGATAAAATGAGGACTGAGCAAACAATCATTAGGTTTGTAACGGGGGAAGGGGATGGCAGAGTATGGTGTTCTAGAAGATAGACATAGGTCAGAAAAGATACACTTCCAAGGTTCCACAAAATGACACACTTTAATTGAACGGACATGGAATATACATCTCCTGTCAGACAATATGGGATGCGTAGAAACAACTGGAGAGAAGTGGCCCCATGTTAAGCATGGTTTTATAACTGACAACTAGAATCTTGAATACAAGCTGAAAGCAGCTGATTTTGTTTGATCTTTCAGATTTGATTTGCTTCTTCTAGAGCTGGGACAGGTGATACTGAAAATTCATCGCTTTTGTTAGGAATATGACTATTACCTAACTTGTTGGGTTGGCAATATATAAACCATTAATGTATGTTTGCAGTGTATTGTATTGTATTGTATAGCTTTAAGACTGCTGTATTGCATCATACTGTGTCCTGATTGATTAGCTTTGTTGCCAATGTCCTTAAGAGGGAGCTAGAAATATGGCTTGTTCTCTTTGTTGTTATTGCTCTCTGATATCTCTATCTGACTTACTGTATTACTGTTTGCAACTCCAGAGGAACTATTTACTGTGTATGATTAATACGACTGGTATGAAGATTTTGTTTATTGGACTGTGCTTTATTTTAACACGACTCAGTGTATCTGTGTGGTGTATCTGTGCTTATTCATAACTACTCTCAACCGCTTTCATGTGCACACCCTTGCCACTCAAGGGTTATTCCTTAACACTGGTTATGAGCCCAGGATACTGAGAGTTAGTGTGAATACACAGTACCATATTCAGACAGCTGTTTTTGTGATTTATTGTCCAAGAGAAGATGGCACAAGAACAATCAACCAGCACATCCCTGATGATCCAGTTGGATGCAACCAAAGGCCCATACATTTAACAATATATTAAGTCACTATTCTATTATACTGTATTAATAAAAATAATCAGGAGAGATTATTTTATAACTTCATAAACTGATGTACAGTTTTCCATATGGCATTTGAATATGTAAGATCACGCATTCCTTAAATATTTACTTGCTTGTCTTGATATAAATACATAACATTTTGTTTTACTTAGCCTAAGCAGTACATAAGTACTCAGCAATAATTTTATTTTCCTTTTTAGGGGCTGATGTTATCAATTTTGATGGCCATGCTGTATTACCGTACAGATTTGGACACAAGAAGAAAACACTGAAAACACTGAAAGATGTCATCGCTTTGAAATTTAAAACCATTGAAAGTGAAGGCGTACTCTTCCATGGAGAAGGCCAGCAAGGAGATTATATCACCCTAGAATTGAAAAAGGCCAAACTGGTTCTTAACTTAAATTTAGGTATGGCTTAAAAAACAAGAATTTTTCTATGCTTTAGCACTAGATTTATAACTCTAAATGTATCTCCTACCTTTTCTAAAAGAAAGAATTTAAATCAGTTTCTAGGTAGAATAAAGAACCTCTTAAAAGGCTAGAATGATATAGATTTATTTTAGAAACATTTTATCTAGAAATGGAATCAAGTGATTTGTTTTTTAGTTCGAGTCCACAGAGAAAAATATTAGATTCTTGATCGTGATTTTTCAATATATTGGTCTAAAGAAGAGAGCCTACTCCAGTGATGGCTAACTTTTTTGCTGTCACGTGCCAAAAGCGGGGAAAGTGGGGGGGAGTCATATGCGCATGTGCCCACACCCATAATTCAGTGAGCCCTATTCCCCCGCGCATGCACGCTCAACCCCCCCATGCTCCCCCTGCTTTTAGCATGCGATGGCACGGTGGCATTGTAGGCCTGTTTTTTGCCCTCCCCAGGCTCCAGAGGCTTCCTAGGAGCCTGGGGAGGGTGAAAATGGCCTTCCCTACCCCCCGGAGGCCGGAAACAGCCTGTTTCTTAACTTCCAGTAGGCCCAGAAGGCCTGAGAGTCAGCTGGCCTGCATGCACATGCGCGCTGGAATGAGCTAGGCTAGGGCAAGCCTTGCATGCCCACCGATATGGCTCTGTGTGCCACCTGTGGCATGCGTGCCATAGGTTCGCCATCACGGGCCTACTCCATCTCTGGGCTTTTCCTTAGCACCTTATGGGAGGATGATGTCATTAAGTAGTCTTAAATTCAGATCCTATGGTATCAGTCTAGGAATGCTAAAGGCCCTATGGCAGGGATGTGGCAGAAATGCAGAGTTCACAAATTCACAGGGATTTTATTATTCTGCCCATGTTTTTATTTTGGCATCATTTGTATAACAGAATCAATCAATATAGAAAACTTTGGCAATATTACTTGTTATGGGAAAAAATACTTCCACGGGTACCACATGTTGGGAATGGAATGATTGAAACTGTCTCTACCCTAACTTTTATGTGTAATTTTCTAGGTTCCATCTGAGGTATCTAAGAATCAAATGATGCCTATGAATAAGTAGGCATATTTTTCAGGAATGTGTGAATTGAAATATTCCTGAAATATATGCTTACTTGTTTGGATGTAAAGCCTAAGTGATTAAATTATTTTTTTATATTTAACAGTGCATCAATTCTCCTATTTTGCATCACTATATTTTACTGCTTTTAGCTGGTTTTTCTTAACTGGCTTCTAATACAAACTGTAAAAAAATTCAGAGATGACCTTGGAGGAGATATGATGAAATGATTAAGAAACAATGAGCAGAAAAGATTGCATAGCCTGGAAACTGAAGGAAACATTATACAGAAAGTCAAAATAACCCACCTTGATTTTGTTTAGTGTAACATGGGGCAGAGATAAACTTTGACAGGCTTTCAAGATTCTGAGGCAATGCCTTGCAATAATAGGGTAGCATTTCTTAATCTGGTTTACCTTAAAGGACTGACAAGGACAAAGCTGGCTGGTTTATAATATCTTGAGACAGTGGAATTCAATAAAGTAAGACAAAGAAGTGTATTCTGTAACTTTTCTTTGTATATTTTCCTTATCATAAAAATACTACCCACATAACTGCTTAATAACAAAACAGGCAGACTCTCAGATGGGAAAAACAGACAACTAAACATCTCTAGACACAGTGATGACCAATAGATCTGTGGCAAGCTTGGTTCAACACTATATGGAGAGGTCAAAGGTTGTCCATTGGACAGCTTCTCCATATGAAGAAACTGCAGGATAGAGGTCATCTGGCAGGTCTGGGTTTTGTCGACGAATCAAGTTGTCAACCGTAGCTGAGTCTTTATGGACCCTGGGTTGTACTATCTCATTTTCTAATCACCTTTGGAATAATAATTATTTTACAGTTAAGTTTTCCAAAGTGGCTCTTCAAATTTCAAACAGGACTTTTCCCCAGCTCCGCTTAAGGAGGTTGTATCTGTACCTAGGGCCAAATTTTTGCATGCAGAGTATATGCTTTGCTAGCGAGCTATGTTTTATTTATGAATTTTATTCATGCATTCAATCAATCAATATAGGCATTCTTCTCAGTTCCCAGGGGAGTGGTGGGGGGGTGGGGTGGCGGTTATTATTAAAGAAGGTCTTGGTCCGAGGGAGACCACTGTGCCACAGACTGCCGGATGTGAATCCCTCTTTGTGAGATGGGGTCATGGGGTTCAGATGAGCTTGTTGCTTACATACCTGGCTCCCTGTCGTGTGGCAACGGCCCTGCCCGAGCTACTCGACGTGATAGCCATGGTGGCAGTTGATACACCCAGGATTATGGTCATGGGTGATTTCAACTTGCCATCCATTGGTGAAACGTCTGAGATGGCTCGGGAGTTCATGGCTTCCATGACAACCATGGACCTGACCCAGTTAGTTCATGGCCCCACCCACAGGGGGGGTCACACTCTGGACTTGATTTTTGTCTCTGGCCAGTGGTTGAGTGGTCTTGTTATAGGGGATATAGACATGGAACCCTTGTCATGGTCAGACCACTTGCTCCTTTGCCTGGACCTTCGAACCGCTACACCCCGCCACAGGGAGGCGGAGCCAACAAGATGGGTCCGCCCCAGGCATCGACCATGGTATCATGCTGCACCGGTTGGAAGAGTTAGGGATGGGGGGCACCGTGTTACGGTGGTTCTCCTCTTTTTTCTCAGACCGGTCGCAGTTCGTGTTGGCAGGGGGGCAGAGGTCGACCTCAAGGGCTCTCATTTGTGGAGTGCCTCAGGGGTCGATCCTCTCATCCCTTTTGTTCAACATTTATGTGAAGCTGCTGGGTGAGATCATCCGTGGCTTTGGGGTGAAGTACCACCAGTACGCTGATGACACCCAGTTGTACATCTCCACCCCAGGCCACCCCACAATGCTCTTGAAGTGATGTCCCAGTGCCTGGAGGTTGTGCGGATCTGGATGGGGAGGAACAGGCTCAAGCTCAATCCTTCCAAGACTGAGTGGCTGTGGTTCCCGGCATCCCGGTATAGTCAGTTGACTCCATCACTGACTATTGGAGGCGAGTCTTTGGCCCCCGCGGAGAGGGCTCGCAATCTGGGAGTCCTCCTGGATATGCAGCTGTCTTTAGAGGAACATCTCACGGCTGTAGCCAGGAGGACCTTTTGTCAGGTTCGCCTGATCCGCCAGTTGCGGCCCTTTCTTGATCGGGATTCCCTGTGCACAGTCATTCACGCCTCCAACTGGTCCAGAATGCGGCCGCGCAGGTAGTTACGGGAGCTGCATGGTGCTTCCACATAACACCTCTCCTGCGTGAGCTGCACTGGCTCCCAGTGGTCTTCCGGGTGTGCTTCAAGGTTTTGGTTACCACATTTAAAGTGCTGCATGGCATAGGACCTAGTTATCTTCGAGACCGCCTGCTGATACTGATGACCTCCCATCGAGCTGTGCGCTCCCACAGAGAGGGCCTCCTCGGGGTGCCATCAGCCAAACAATGTAGGCTGGTGGCCCCCAGGAGGAGGCCTTTTCTGTGGGGGCACCTACCCTCTGGAATCAGCTGCCCCCAGAGATAAGGAGAATCCAAGACCTCGGTGCCTTCCGCTATGTGATAGAAGACGGTCTCGAAGATAGCCTGGCCCTGAGCCATATAGGGCTTTAAAGGTAATGATCAACACCTTGAATTGCACACGGAGACCAATAGGGAGCCAGTGCAGCTTGCGGAGAATTGGTGTAATGTGGGTGTATCTAGGCGCACTGACTATAACTCGCGCAGCTGTATTCTGGACCAACTGTAGTCTCCAAACACGTTTCAAGGGTAGCCCCATGTAGAGCGCGTTGCAATAATCCAACCGTGAGGTGACAAGGGCGAGTGACTGTGAGGAGAGCCTCCTGATCCAAGTAGGGTCACAATTGGTGCACCAGACGAACCTGTGCAAAGGTCCTCCTAGCTACAGCTGTCAGATTTTGTTCCAGTTTCAGCAGTGAGTCTAGAAGGACACCCAAATTATGAGCCCATTCTGAGGGGGGCACTTTCTCACCCCCCAGAACCAAGGATGGACAATCAACATAGTCTTTAGGGGGCAATACCCAGAGTCATTCCGTCTTGTCTGGGTTAAGTCTGAGCCTGTTTACTCCCATCCAGATCCTCACAGCCTCCAGGCACCAGCACATCACATCTACTGCCTCACTGAACTGATGCAGGGTGGAGATATACAGCTGGGTATCATCAGCATATTGCTAATATCCCACCCCATGTCATGTCATCGGATTATTTCACCCAGTGGTTTCATGTAGATGTTAAATAGGAAGGGAGAGAGGACCGAGCCCTGAGGGACAATGGGCCTAGGGGTCGACCTCTGTCCTCCTACCAGCACTGACTGTGATTGACCAGAGAGATAGGAGGCGAACCACCGCAACACAGTGCCTCCCACTCCTAGCTCTCTTAGTCGCCCCAGAAAGATACCATGGTCAATGGTAGCGAAAGCCACTGAGAAGTCAAGTAGCACCAAGACAGATGAATGATCCCTGTCTCGGGCTCGCCAGAAATCATCCATCAGCGTGACCAAGGCAGTTTCTGTGCTATAACCAGGTCTGAAACCAGACTGAAAAGGGTCCAGATAATCCGCAGATTCTCATTAGCGAACAGCATAGATTATAATCCTAAAAAGGTGAAAGTTTCTTTATCTGTTTGATCAACAGCTGCATCCCAGTTGAAATTCATTCATTCATTTAAGACATAAATTCCTATTCTCAGGAAAAACTGAGGTGGAGGGAGAAGTCATTTGCTAATCCTTACCTGCACGGAGAAATAATGGGAAGAGAATTAGAATTATTATGGATCTGCCTTGGAAAAAGCTAGGAGAATACTTGCTAATTAGGCTCTCAGTAATGTAATGTAATGTAATGTAGTGTAGTGTAGTGTAGTGTAGTGTAGTGTAGTGTAGTGTAGTGTAGTGTAGTGTACCTCCTAGCTACAGCTGTCAGATTTTGTTCCAGTCTCAGCAGTGAGTCTAGAAGGACACCCAAATTATGAGCCCATTCTGAGGGGGGCACTTTCTCACCCCCCAGAACCAAGGATGGACAATCAACATAGTCTTTAGGGGGCAATACCCAGAGTCATTCCGTCTTGTCTGGGTTAAGTCTGAGCCTGTTTACTCCCATCCAGATCCTCACAGCCTCCAGGCACCAGCACATCACATCTACTGCCTCACTGAACTGATGCAGGGTGGAGATATACAGCTGGGTATCATCAGCATATTGCTAATATCCCACCCCATGTCATGTCATCGGATTATTTCACCCAGTGGTTTCATGTAGATGTTAAATAGGAAGGGAGAGAGGACCGAGCCCTGAGGGACAATGGGCCTAGGGGTCGACCTCTGTCCTCCTACCAGCACTGACTGTGATTGACCAGAGAGATAGGAGGCGAACCACCGCAACACAGTGCCTCCCACTCCTAGCTCTCTTAGTCGCCCCAGAAAGATACCATGGTCAATGGTAGCGAAAGCCACTGAGAAGTCAAGTAGCACCAAGACAGATGAATGACCCCTGTCTCGGGCTCGCCAGAAATCATCCATCAGCGTGACCAAGGCAGTTTCTGTGCTATAACCAGGTCTGAAACCAGACTGAAAAGGGTCCAGATAATCCGCAGATTCTCATTAGCGAACAGCATAGATTATAATCCTAAAAAGGTGAAAGTTTCTTTATCTGTTTGATCAACAGCTGCATCCCAGTTGAAATTCATTCATTCATTTAAGACATAAATTCCTATTCTCAGGAAAAACTGAGGTGGAGGGAGAAGTCATTTGCTAATCCTTACCTGCACGGAGAAATAATGGGAAGAGAATTAGAATTATTATGGATCTGCCTTGGAAAAAGCTAGGAGAATACTTGCTAATTAGGCTCTCAGTAATGTAATGTAATGTAATGTAGTGTAGTTAGTGTAGTGTAGTGTAGTGTAGTGTAGTGTAGTGTAGTGTAGTGTACAATTGCAATGCAATGCAATGCAATGCAATACAATACAATACAATACAATACAATACAATACAATACAATTAACTATATTATACTATATTATTATATTACAATATAATTTCTGGAATTAAGACCATTTTGTCTAAAAAATAGATAAATTAATTTTAAAAATCACCACAGTTACTACGACAAAAAGGTTAAATCTTACCTCAGGCTATGGAGGTTTTTTTTTTTAATCCTTACTATCAGATATCTCCAAGTATTCTCACAGTGATGGTACCCATATGAGTACTGAACTTTTCAGGAAGAGTTGCATGCCTTGCAACTGGTATGCCTTGATAAGAAGCAGTCTTGACAACTCTATCATTTCAACTTTTTTAAGACATGGAGAGTAGAAAAAAATAACCTAAAAATATATAATAGGATAAAATGAGAATTAAAGGCCAAAGATACCAAGTCTTAGTCTAACATCTTAATGTTTAACCATATTGACCCCTATCTTTTTGCATAATTAATAGCAGCAAATTTATTATAGAATTTCAGTGATACATATTACACAAGGCATTAAAATGTTTTTTTTAAGTATGAATAAATTTATCATAGCAGACTCTAGTAAACTGACAAAATGTAATACTAAATCAATACAAGGAAAAATATTAAACATTAATATTGTAGTTATTTTTAGTTCAAGGAGCCCAGAATCACTGAGCAGCATAAAATGTAATAAAAAATAAAATTAAAATCAGCATTTTTTCCCTGTTTTTTCACAGGTAGCAACCAGTATGGTTCAATCTATGGACACACATCTGTAACCACAGGTAGCCTTTTGGATGATCACCATTGGCATTCTGTTTTAATAGAGCGTCATGGGAGAAACATCAATCTCACCCTTGATAGGCATTTGCAGCAATTTCGGATCAATGGGGAATTTGACTACTTGGATCTGGACTACGAGGTACACCATCATCCATTCCTATTCAATTTGTGTTCAGTGCTTTCCTTTCAGATATAGGATATGCACATTAGCAATTGCACACAAAGGATGTTTTCAGAAGTTATGAAATGCATGTAATTTCAGTGCTGATTTAGATAATAGTCAGTTCTAAGTCGCAAATCAGTTCAAATAAGCTCAAAGCTATTCTAGTAATAGTTCTAGTAATAGAATATGACAAAACACGGACATATTTAGCAAAGGGGAACATTAAATTGAACATGGTTTAAAATTCTTATTTTGGAACTTTTAAGTTTAAAAAGTGATCAAATATGTATAATGTCTTGAGCTGTAAAATAAATATAGGCCACTGTAAATCTGATAATACATAGTACATATTTAACAAGCAAATAAATAAAATAAAGATATAATGAAAAGATCCCTATTGTGGGTTTTCGTGTTTTAGCGACAATAAGGAAATGGTTAAGCCACAGCCTACCAGGAAAGTTTCCCTAGGATTTTATTTTGTTTTTGTTTTTCTCTAAGCACTAACTAAACCCAACTTTTCATAACATTTCTGATATAACAAAGTTTGGCTAGGTACTATCATCTCTTCTGACATTTTTCCTATGCATGTTTAAAACAATAAGAAGACAGACTAGATAAACAAATAGGATTTGATTTACATATTGCAGTAATACTAAAAAATGCCAAAAATAATTTACTTCCATATTTATATGAAAATTATTCATTAGAATATCTGTAAAAACTATCATCTGTCAGTAATGAAAATAGATAAGAATGTAGAGTTGAAAAGTAACCAAAAACAGGTTAAAATATTGTAGGTCTTCAAATACAAATTGGTAAATGTCTTGGCTCATAAAACCCCCAGATTAAACAGTGGTTAAAAAGAAGGAAGTATGGCTACTTGATGTGGCAATACCAAGAGGTAGTAAAATAGAAGAATTGTATCACAAAGTATCAACATCCAAAAAGTTGTAGCAGATCCTTCAATTTATTTTTACGATTTTTTCCTCTTTTATGAAGAACAGCCAAAACTTTACATTTCTTTGATGAAGTTCTCATTGTTGAAACCCTGCCACAAGTTTGCAGTTTTTGGAATTGTATGATAATTAGTTTCTAGGAAAAGCAAAACATGCCACAAATGTTGCAGACTCAAGGACAGGTTCATCTTCACTTGTGTTTTTTAAGGTGCTATAAGTAAAAAGTTTTGCATTTTTCATTCATTTCCTAAATTAAATGAGTTCCTATTTTCTATTTTAAGGGGGCAAATGTTAGTGAGCCCATTTAAACTCTTGTTTTGATTGCGCAATTAATTACTTTCTCCCTGGAATGGATGGATCATATGCTAATAAGCATTGCCTTGTGGCAGGAAAGCCATTGCATTTCAAATGTTATATTTCATGTAACGCCCTGAGTATTCCAATACAACTTTCATAATTAAGGGGAACTTATAGGGAGAGGCTTCCAAAGGAAAAATAAGACAGGAAATAGATATTCTGTGGACTGTATTCCATTCAAAATTTATAAAAGGAACATCATAGTCTAAGTTATTATCAGCTTGCAGCATAGTACTTGGTGCCTTAAAATTAAAATTTCCACAGAATCTGGGAAGTGATGCAATTTACAGAAAGATAGCTCATTCTCTCAATAAAAGTACATATTGATGGTTTCTGTTGGTTCTTGCAGATAGGTCTTCACTAGAATGTTCAACAATAGATAACAGGAAATAAATTTGCAGAGGTTGCAAACAGCAGCATCTAGCTTTACCTTGCTGATTGTATAATATCACATCACATCATATCTCCTCAAAGACGCTATGGCAAACTGCTACATCTTGTGAACTAAATTGTGCAAGTATGTTAATTTTGATTCAGGAGCTGAGCTTAACTCACTTATTTACAGATAAAATCTGTAAGAGATCAGGCAAATTGTCATTCTTATAAAATGTTTCACATTTCTTTTCAAAGATAACATTTGGAGGTATGCCTTTTTCTGGGAAGCCCAGTTCAAACAGCAGAAAGAATTTCAAAGGCTGCATGGAAAGCATAATCTACAATACCAACAATATCACAGATATGGCCAGAAGAAAGAAGTTGGAACCTTCTACTGGGGTCAGTATATTGCTTTATGACATATAATGGGAAAAAGGCAGTTTGCATAGTATTCATATATACTTGCAATCCGCTTTTACACTACATACCTTGATACACATTTTATCATTTGTGTGAATAAACTGCATTAAGAACAATTTTTAAATGGGTCTTTGGAATGTTTTTCCATCATGTAGTGAATGTCTTGATAATCCAAATGAAAGCTATTAAGCTTCACATATTATCAATTAAAAAAAGCCACTTCTTTCAACATATTTGGGATTTCAAGAGGTGAAAAAAAGAAAAGCATTGGACAATTATCTTTACTGGTGTTTAGAGTCACTTTTGTCTAAACTCATAAACCAGATTGTAATTTTGAAAATATTCTTAACTATATCATTCAAAATAACATACAGTGAATTCCCTGAGGCTAGCCTGCTAAACTAGGCCAATATTAGATACTTAATTAGGTGGCTATATTTTTGTATGTCCTTTGATGGATGCATTTTTATTAATGTATTGATATTTATGGGTGATAATGACTTGTTTTTTTCAAAACAACAAAATAATTTGAATGGTATTATGATATGTCAAAAAACATTATACTTTGTCATATAAATTTTGCTGCACTCTTAGGAATGGGTAATCCATTTATATTGGATTAACAAATTTGGATAACGAGTGCATGAAATAAGTTTACATGTCTGATAATAGCTGATTTGAACATCACTTCATTGTTTCTAACATTCTTTCTGAAAAATCAAAGATTTAAATTTTTAGCAACAATTAGCAACTGATTGATTGTTCTCATTATTAAGAAATTTCTCCTTAGTTCTAAATTACATTTCTCCTTGATTAGTTTCCATCCATTGGTTCTTGTCTTGTTTTCTGGTGCTTTGGAAAATAGTTCTTCATCTTTGTAGCAGTCCCTCAAATCCTGGAACACTGCTATTTCTTTGGTCTAGCTGTTATTGGGTTGTTGTTGTTGTTTTGTACTTTGTAGTTCTTATCCAAAATCATCATTTTTAATTCTACATTTTTTTTAAAAAAATCACTTTTTATATAGGCCTTTGACCCTAACCTAAACCAGACTCTTTCCAATCCAACTGTTACAGTTTTTTTCAAAAATCCTTTTATTTTTACACCTTCAGATCACCACTTGAATATTTAATCTTTGGATTCATGATTATTCTCCACTTTTTTACTTCAGTTATCTTCATATTTTTATTATTTAAAGATTCCCTGGTCTTCTTGGTGTTTTGCTCTAAGAATTACTTTACACAGCTGCTTTTCAGGTATCTTAAAAGATGCCAAAACTGGCTGAGGAACATATTGTAGAGTGAATAAATAACCTTTATACACTAATCAAACAGGGTTTATGATATTTAACAGCTGATTTCAAAATTGTCCCTTGAATAACAAGATCTTTGAATAAGTAATTGCATTCTTCAAGAGGGAATGATCTAAGGAACAAATATAGTTCCATAGCTATTGATGTTTTATATTGTATTTCTAACACTGTTGAAAGATTTGTATATGCAATATAGAAATGCATTAGTGCATGAAGAAGATATTATTTTGGAGATATTATTTTGGACTTACTTGATTTTCCAACAGAAATTATGGCTGTAAAAATGGCTCCCTCATTTATTTCAAGCTGAGTTATTTCTATTGCTTTACTAGTAGGAAAACAAGATCAATTTATTACTAATTAAATCAGCATAGATTTTCATTTCTTTTCTAAAAACAACAAATTTCTTCACTTTGTTATTATTATTGTCCCAAGAAATTGGATTCATGTAAAACATGGCTTCATTTTTCTAAGGGATATATCCCTTAGAAAAGAAAGGCTACCTTATACCTGGCCCTTAATCTGTTTTTGTTTTTTTTAAATCAGAAAAGCACAAACGTTAGTCTAATATAGACCATCCTATATTTTTTGAACTAATAATGTGAGGGTTTTTTAAATGTCATATTAGTTTAAGGAGAAGGTAGTTCCTTCAACAGGAATTCTCAGTATTTGGAGACTGCTTCTGAATTACTTCTATTTCTTCTGTTTTAATCTTACATTTCTACAGAATACATACTTTTTACAGATAATTTTAATTAAATAATTAATTATATAAAATAACTGCTTTTCTCCAGGTTTCCCAAATGGTTACTGATGCCATTGTTACTTAATAAATTTAGATAAACATATTATTACAATTTTCTTTGCCTTTTCTTTTCAGATAATTTTGACTTCCTATTCATAACACTGATGATAGGATTACCCAAATTTATTCCTGAAAATTCTTGATTTATTTAATCTAAGAGATTTGTTAATGCAGGACATTACTTGGCTGTTTTCACCCTAAATAATTCAACCTACATTATTTCTGTGGCAAATCAGCACAGAAGTCATTCAATTGTTATAGTATAAATGAGAATTTACAATCTTAATTCTTTGTCAACATTATTTATGCAAAATGTTAATATATCCATAAATATATTGAATAGAATATATTGGGGAAAACAATCCTGCTGTGTCAAAATCTAATATATGAAATATGAAATTAATTTTTAATGACTATAATGTATTAATTGCATAATGATTCTGACATGCTGCATGAGTTCAACAGGGCTATGCTGCTGATATTCATTTGTATGTGATGTACAATGCATCTCACTGTCCAAAAATAATCAGCCAGCATTGATTATTCCATTGTGGTGATGTCGTGGTGGAAACTTTTCACCATGTTTATCATTGACTGCACCTAGATTTTTGGAAGGAAGTCCAAATGTGAATGCAGAAAATCAATCTTCCATGAAATGTTGCATGGTTTTGTATGCTGTAAGAAGTTTGTCAACTACCTGAATGTACTCTGTAGTTGCCAAGAAAATTCTCAAAGGTATCCTTGAATGCTTTTCAGGCAATAGTAGGCAAAGAATTGGAAAATATCAAGATCTGAAAATAAAAATGTATTTATTTATTTAATCTATTTAATATGCGATATTTTAATATTAAATTATTATTCTGCCTTTATTATTTTTATAAATAACCCAAGGCAGCAAACTATAATATTCCTCTTCCAATTTTCCCTACAACACCACTGTGAGGTCATTTGGGCCGATAGAGAGTGACTGGCCCAAAATCACAGCTGATTTTCATGACAAAGGCAAGACTAGAACTCACAGTCTCCTGGTTTCTAGCTTGGTGCCTTAACCATGAGACTATCAGGCTCTGTGGTTGAAAGATTATGTTGCAAGCTGAAAGAGTTGAAAAATTAAAAGATTATGGCATAAACCAGCCATGATAATCCATTAACAAAAAATCTTGGATGGAACTTACAAAATTTACACATCAATAAAATTTCTATCTTTCAATTGCAAAAGGTGACACCACTTGGATCTATGCTGATACATTATGACATCCTGGTTCTTAGAAAGAACTTAATGCCTATGATTAGCCAACAACAGCTAATGAACTGCCAGCTGTTATTTCACAGTCATAAATAAGCAGGTTAAAATATTGTTTACAACTGTCAGTGTCTTTGCACATAGCAAAACAACAACAACTAACCAGAAGTCTTTGAATATTAATTTTGACACACATTAAAGACTGTCAGGGCAACAATGCTGTCTCAGCCGGTCTCCACATTTGTATTACAAAATTAAAAATAACCGAAAAAGATTGTTGTAGGTGGAACAATATTAAATATTTATTATATATGTGTTTCCATTCTATTTTCCAGGTACAGTAGATACTTGGATATTTCAGAAAATTTAGTAATTCCAAGGATTGTCAAGTTAGGAGAATAATACCTGTCACTATTATTTAATTGTTATAATATTTTTCCATAAATTAATGTTTTATATTTCTATATTTCACTGGGTCAATGCAATTATTATGCAAGTTATGAGGACATTATTTTTGTAAGCACAGTTGAAAGATATTGGATTTTACATGCATGTGTTTTTCATTTTGTTTTTACATAGGGGAATTTAAGCTTTTCCTGTGTGGAGCCTCATACAGTGCCAGTATTTTTCAATGCTACTAGTTTCCTGGAAGTGCCTGGCCATCCAAATCGTGAATTATTCTCAGTCAGCTTTCAATTTCGAACATGGAATCCAAATGGAGTTTTGTTGTTCAGCAATTTTGCTGAAGGATTGGGTAGCATACAGATTGATTTGACTGAGGGAAAAGTCAACGTCCGTATCAATGTTACTGGAGTGAAGAAGAATAAAATCAACATATCTTCAGGTGAGCATAGCAACTCTTTTTTTTTTTTTAGATCACGAAGTATTTCTTCATGTGGCTTTGAACTTTCCTACTTGGTAGGAAGTTACTTGGTTACAAAAAAGTTTGTTTTAGATTTGATGAAAAAAACTAGAGGTTGTATTTTATCTTTTGTAAAGGAATTTCTTACTTATTGAATTATTTATTCCTAAGTACAAATAGTTCAAAGTTTATCTGTCTGGAGTAAAGTTCATAATGGAGCGGAATTCAATCACTTTGGGATAAATGATACGTTGTGGGGTGGGGAAAGAAATTATTCTTCCAAACACAATGGAAGACTATATAAGTTATACTATGATTTATTTATTTTTTTTGAGGTTACTAATAAATATTGTAGCCACACATAGCAACATTTTAAAAGAGTAACATAAATAAACTTCAATCAGGACAAACCTTAAGGAACTTGAATTTTAAATATTGATATTAGGGAAGACATCAAAAGAGAATAGAGGAAACAAAGGCAAGGATAAAAGTGCCATTTTCAGTACAATCAAAAAGAAGAAATAGATCAGCAAATAGAAGAAAGGAATAGTGATTCTTCTATATCCCAAAGACAATGATGCTTAATTGGAAAATTATATATGATGCGTAGTTTTCCACATAAGAATGAGCAAAGAAGTCAAAATATTGGCTAAAGCTGTAATACTGAAGCCTTTATCATTTTTGACTTATGTTGTATCTGTAGCAGTGCATGTGAAAAAGGGATGGGAGAACAAAATATTGTATTTCAAGAGAATACTAAAGGCAGAAAAAATGGGGAGTTTTGAATTTTTTCATTGTAACATTAATATTTTTGGTACTTCTTTTGAGATAGTTAAATGCCAGAGAGTTTTAAGGATGGCCTCATTGTTATGGACTTGACTTTACCAAGTTCAGTTGATGCTTTGGGCATATTATTGATAGATGCCTCTAATAGCATTAGTATAACAATTTTGATATTTTGAAAATAACTAAAAATATTGACCCAGCGAGCAATGAAGAAGAGACAAAGCAAAGACAGTTGCTTCAAAATGAATCAGTTCTAGATGATGAGGCAACAATTCATTTTATGCTCCTCTGGTTCCAGGCCTATAACTTGATTCTTGCCACCATTAACAAGGTCTCAGTGTGAAATAGCAAAGCAAGCAGAATCAGAAGCTGTTTACAGATCCATCAAAGTAGCTATTATTAACACATTTAAACAAATATTAGCAGAGCACCAAAATCATCTACTTTATAAATGTTTCTTATGGGCCCTTTCAGGTTCTTATTAAGGTTCAGCATACTTCTAGGTGCAAAAACCTTCTAAACTATTTGAAAACACTTTTTTTTTGAGATAGGAATTTAACAGCAACTATATTGATTCCTATATAAAGTGAAAAAAACAGGTTTGTCCAACCTGATGTCAACCAGAAATTTTGGATATTTAAAAATGAGGTATGCTGCATAACTTTTGCCTTTGCTCATTAAATAGACAGAAAACAATGGGGGGAACTGGGATTGAGGCTATTGAGTAAGGTGATCTTGTGGACATCTCACTTGATAACCATCATGGCATCTGATCAAAATTCTGGAACCAATTGTGATCATAACTCAAGGAATATCTGTTTAGCAAATATCATATAATTCTTTTTAAAATCCGCATTAACCTTGACTTTATCCTACCATAAATATCCATGACTTTCAAATATCAGATTGTATCCTCCTAATTACAAAATAACAATTATTTCATCTTTCTGTGAAGTATAAATAGATTTTACCAATTTGATGAAGTTAGCTCCAAAATTCATGTTTTCTAATATCTTGAACAAGAAAGCCCAGTTCAAATGATCAAGGCTTTATCTGCCTCTAGGTAAATCGGTGTGGCTTCTTCTTCATTATGTTGCTCCAAATATTACAAGACATTCAATGTATTTCTAACATTGTCTTTTAAATAATACCCCACATTGATCCTCATGAATATCCTTCTTTAGACATTCTAAAATAGCCTATGGTAATTTTTCCCATAGGAAAATAGTTTAGAACTTGAAAATGGAATTCATCATTCAGGATGAAGTGTAGCTATTGTTCTGGCAGAGCAATTTGGCCATGGATTTTTGCCTGTCAGTCTCTGTAGCTGTGTAGCTTTATAATGTGTCCTTTGGCAGCTTGGCATTTTCTGTTGACATTAATCGAGTAAAAGTGAACTTTTATCCCACTCTTTCTTGAAAGAGCATCACCTTTCTGAAGCTTTATGTTTGTTTTCTATGCAGTTTACAGAACTAGGAGCCACAATAGGCCTGGAGGGAAAAGCTAAGCTTCTCTAACATTATTTAGATCTTCAGAAAGATAGCAATTCCCTTTTGTAAGAGTATTTGCACATTTTACGATTTCATTTTCAAATGTTGCTGAAACGGTGCATGGATTCATGGGGAGGAGAGGCAGAGAGCTTGAGTTTTTGGCTTTCTAAAGCAGATTTACACAATTGATACTGTCTTGAGGAAATTTACTCATTAATTTTATGCATTGGCAAAGAAACTAAATTACCTTATTTTTGAAATAGCCTCCATAAATGTGCAGTTTATTTTAATATGAGAAGATTCTTGGTAAATAGACAATAAATAGACAAAATGCACTGGATATTTCTCCAAGGTGTTCTGCAATATGAATGTCTATCTATAGAAGATGAAAGAAAACAGTGAACTAATGTCACTAGTACTAGGTTTTGATCTGAAATATTTAAAGCACCCATTTTTAATGGTATATATTTTTGCTTCTTAGAATGTAGAAATGCATAATCTAATCCTTAGTGTGATGTCTTATATCTGATATCTGCAGATTTTTATCCAGTTATCTCTCAGAGCAATTTAAACTCTTTTTATGTGTATCTATAACATAGTCAGTATTCATTACTAAAACAGAGTTCTTGTATTATCTATTATCTCATAGCCAATCCATGTCTTCTTAATTATAGAATATTTTTAAAAACAAAATGCAGTCAAAATATTATTCTTCCCTTTGCAAATAGAATTTAAATAGAACAATCAAAATATGTCAATTATACCTGTTATATCTTGACATAAATGTGAATATAGCCTTCCTATATACTATTACATTAATAGTTATGCTACTGTTGATATTCTTTATTAGATTGATATTCTCTCTTTCATGCAGTACATGATGGAATTCATAGTGCCCTCTCATTTACACCACAATAACTGGTGGAGCATTAGGTTACTCAGTGAATTTTCATAGCTAAGGCAGACTTAAATACTATGTGCCTATAATACATATTTCAATGACATAGAGGTAAAAAAAAACTTGGCTGACTACCCTATCAAATAGAAGACAATCTTCTATGTCATAGGTGGGTCATCGTGACCTATAGGTCACATGTGGCTCTTGGTCTCAAATGATTAAACTCCTGAATTATTAGCTCAACTCTCATACTCTGTAGTACCTATCCAATAATAATAGAGTAATTTTGTTCCGTGTTCCTTCAGTCAGGGATTGCCATTTCATTTCATTGTTTGTTTTCGGTACTGCCCATCTCACCTAACTGACTCAGGGCAGTTTGCAACAGATTGTAAGAAGTCTCCAATCAGCAATAAATGTAGATATTGTCTTTTTTCTGATCAAATAATTCAATTTATCCATCTCAGCTTCATTTTCACCTACCATTCCTCCTTCTGGTAATGCCAAATCTTTCCAGATTTGTGCATACAATCTTACAGCAGTTAGCATATTTAAAAACAAAGTTTCATGACTTTTTTTCTGTTTAATCATAGCTCTCCCAAGAAAAGGCTCTGGTTTTAATAGTACAGCCAGTTGTTATTTTCAAATAAAGCTATATTTTGAAGGATGTCTAATCATATTATATATGTTTAAATGATATTTCACTCATTTAGAAATACTAGTGTTTTTAAAATCATGCTTATGCTAATTAAAAAAACATTTTTCTTATAGAAAAAAGAAAATGCTAGAAGATTTTATTTCTAAAATATAATTCTTAGCATTTCTTTGCCTCCTTTGGAAACTTGAATTAGTTCACCTGCATTGTATCATTGCTTCATGACATTTAAAAATAGATTGCATGAGAAGGGGAGTTTTCTCACAAGTTTGGAAAATATACTGTAGTGTAGTCACATATATATCTGGAGATCCCAACATGAGAAAACACTTCTTCAGATTCAGAACTTCCAGATATTTATCATGGGATTTATACATGTAAAACTTGGTTGTAATCTCAAAATGTCAAATCAATAAACTGTATAAGCTCCCAACACTTCTTATTAAGTGTTCACTTCATCTGTGTATCCCCCATCTAATATGATATGAGACTTCTGAAATCCAATACTGGCTCTTGTCTTCCAGTGTGAAGGATTGGAAAATGTTACTTTTGTCTTGAAAATACCTCATTGAAACTATCCTACATCAAGGTTCTTACTAATCTTACTTCATTGTCCATTTTCTTGTAAATGTGCATCAGTTATTTATCCCACTTCCTTCTTGTTGGTTTAAATTATTTATTTTAGCTAGATGTGATTAAAAAAAAAACCTGAGTTCCCCAAAAGAACCCAATATTTGTGCACATATAAATGTGGATGAAGCCTTCTATGTGAAACTTTTATACTTGATACTCCAGGTGCTGCCAGATATATAAGCAATGCAGCAGTGTGAATATGTGTGAATTTGCAGAGTTTTTACCACCATTGAGTATTGGCAGACTTCAGCAGCTATCTTTCTGACCAGATTGTCTAAAACCTTATATTCATTTTGTTATCAGGTCTACCTGATGCAGTACTGGCCTTCTAAAATGTGAACAGCTATTGATCTCTTGGCACATATTGAATTTCCTCTGAGCTATACGGGTGGCTGGTTAATCCAGAAAATTATTTATATATTTTATCTATATATTGATTTTTATTCTTTCTGCCTCACTGCCCAAATACAGCACTTCTCCCTTTTTTGTTGTTAAACCTTATTCACCTGAGCTTTTACAAGAG